AGGTTGGTCATAAGGATGGTTACTGTAATGTTGGAAAGCGAAACATTGCACAGCGACGCGGAAAAATAAGCTATAATTCACGTTTTAATGCTCATGTCATATATGATATCAATCAAATCGAATCCAGAGCAAGGAGAAAATATATCAATGTACTGATCAATGGAGTTCCCGTGAATTTACAAATCGACACTGCTTCAGATATTACTATTATAGCCGAAGAAATGTTGAATTCAATAGGAAATCCCAAATGTCAAGTTACGAATCATTCAGCTCGAAACGCATCTGGCAATCCACTACATCTGGTGTCAGAATTTCCTTGTGAAATAAGTTTCAATCAGAAGTCATATTGTGGAAAATGTTTCGTTACTTCAGTTGCTGGTTTGAACATACTGGGTATTGACTGGATCACAAAGTTAGGGTTGTGGGATGTTCCAATTAATTCTATATGCAACAAAATATATGTAAATGAATCTACATGTTTTGATGGTACACTATTGAAAACACGTTTCCCAGAGGTATTCAGAAGCTCTTTGGGTTGCTGTACAAAACTGAAGGTAGACCTCAATATACACGAAGATGCCAGTCCTGTGTTTTGTCCAAAAAGGCCAGTGGCGTATGCTGTCATGAGTAAGGTTGATCAAGAACTAGAACGATTGCAGCAACTAGGAATTATTTCACCAATTGAATATTCAGAGTGGGCCGCTCCAATAGTAGTTACAAAAAAGTCAAGTGGTGATATAAGGATCTGTGGTGATTTTTCAACAGGACTCAATAATGCACTCAAGTCTCATCGCTATCCATTACCTACAGCTGAGGAAATTTTTGCAAAATTAGGAAAGTGCACTATATTTAGTGTAATTGATCTCTCTGATGCATTTTTACAAGTGGAAATTAATGAATCATCTAGAAAAATTTTGACGATAAATACCCATCACGGATTATTTCAATATAATCGGATGCCTTTTGGCATCAAAGTAGCGCCGTCTATTTTTCAACAAATAGTTGATACAATGATATCCGGATTGGATGGAACAGCCGCTTATATAGATGATATCCTCATTTCCGGTAAAAATGCCAAGGAACACGATGAAAACTTATTGAAAGTTCTTGAGCGGATCCAGGATTTTGGGTTCCATTTGAGGATTGAAAAATGTAAGTTTGGTGTTAAGGAACTGAAATACTTGGGATTTATTTTGAATGATAAAGGAATTCAGCCGGATCCTGTAAAAACAGATGCTATAAGGAACATGCCTCCTCCATATGACATAACGACACTCCGTTCGTTTCTTGGTGCCATAAACTATTACGGAAAATTCATTGGAAATATGCATATTCTGAGGCAGCCATTAGATGAACTTCTGAAGAAAGATTCCGAATTCGAATGGACTCCAAGATGTCAGAAGTCGTTTGAAGAATTCAAAAATATTTTACAATCGAAGTTATTTTTAACACATTATAACCCGGAGCACGAAATTGTTGTGGCAGCAGATGCAAGTAATTCCGGAATAGGCGCTTGTATTTTTCACCGCTTCAAAAATGGATCGATAAAGGCGATTCACCACGCATCTAGAACTCTGACGGAAGCAGAAAAAAAGTACAGTCAGATCGAAAAAGAAGCTGCAGCTTTGGTGTTCGGGGTAACGAAATTTCATAAAATGATATATGGTCGACGTTTCACTTTACAAACTGATCATAAGCCGCTTCTTGCTATTTTCGGCTCGAAAAAAGGCATTCCAAATTATATAGCTAATCGACTGCAGCGATGGGCACTCGTTTTGAAAGCCTATGATTTTAATATTGAATATGTGAAAACAACAGAATTTGGACATGCGGACATCCTGTCAAGACTTGTTGATGTACGCAATGATGATGAGGAGTATGTCATTGCCGCAGTCAATTTGGAATCGGAGGTATGTCAAATTTTTAATGAGACATTTCACAATCTTCCAGTAACATATAAATCAGTTCACCAAGAAACAGTAAATGATGTGGTCTTGCAAGAAGTTATCAATTTTATTCAGAATACCTGGCCATCAAATATAAAAAACGTCAACAATGATGTTATGAAATTTTATTACAGAAAAGAATCGCTTTCAGTAGTCAAAGGCTGTTTGATGTTTGGGAACAGAATAGTTATTCCACAAGTATTTCATCAGAAAATTTTGAAACAATTACATGCAGGGCATCCAGGTCAAGAGAGGATGAAATCGATCGCAAGAAGTTACGTGTACTGGCCCAACTTAGACAAAGACATAGTAGACTTCGTCCGGAATTGTAGGTCTTGTGCAGAAACTGCTAAATCTCCTACGCAGGTTGCACCTTCTGATTGGCCGAAATCGGACACGTCTTGGCAGAGAATCCATATTGATTTTGCGGGCCCAGTTGATGGTTTTTACTATATGCTGATTATAGATTCTTACTCTAAATGGCCAGAAGTGTTCAAAACGAGAACAATTACTTCTAAATTCACAGTACAAACACTGGATGAGGTCTGTTCACGTTTTGGATATCCTGAAACTTTAGTCACAGACAACGGAACGCAGTTCACAAGTGAAGTTTTCAGAAACTATTGTATGTTTCATGGCATACAACACATTCGTACAGCACCTTATTGGCCTCAATCTAATGGTCAAGCTGAGCGTTTCGTGGATACTTTCAAGAGGGCATTGAAGAAGTTCAAGAGAGAAGGACATCCAGATGAAGAGCATATTCAACAATTCTTAATTGCTTACAGGTCAACACCAGCTCGATCAGTGCCTGAAAATAAATCACCAGCTGAAGTCTTACTGGGTAGGAAAATTCGGACTACATTTGATCTGTTGTTACCATCCTCTGTAAGAAAACCATTATATCAAACTCAAGCGAACAGTAATAATTTCAACCCAGAAGATGCAGTTTATGTCAAAATTTTCAGAAACAATCGCTACAGTTGGATTCCCGGAAAGATCATCGAAAGAGTTGGAAATGTTATGTTCAATGTTTTATTGAGTGAAGATCGCCGAAATTTAGTACGCGCACATGTCAATCAGATGAGGAAAAGATACGGAGAAGAAGACAGATACGATTTGATTCCTTCAAATATATTGATGGACACTTTTGACATGAAGGGAAGTTCGGTTCCGGAAGCAACTGATAATTCAGACTCTGAAGAAACATCTTCATCCAACGTTGAACCAAATCATTCCGAAATTTTGAATGATGTTGATTGCGAATCAACCCAGTCTGATGTCTCGAGTCATGTCCGTCCAAGGAGAAATTGTAGGCGACCAAGTTATCTGGAGGGTTATTTAATATAAAAGGAAGGGGAGAAATGTTAGGAATCAGCTCTACGCTGATATCATGTTTGTTTATTCATTGTTTTGATATAGATGTCAGATAGAGAATTATGATGACAGTTCTTCTAGTTGTAGTTTCAAACAGAGATTTTGAAATAAAGAGTTTAAAGTATAACATTAGTAAATCCATAAGCGGCCGTAACTTCCACATTTTGTCTTGAAGATTAGGAAGCAAGTTATCAGCACAGTGCAAATATCTTATGATTTGGCGAAATCGATCTCTCCTCATAGACTCACTGACCATAGATTTTTTCATGTCCATCTTGGAATCCCAGTAGAAATCTCGTCCTGGCAACTCATTATAGTCTGTAACGATAAGAATTTCGATTGCACATTTCATTTCTTCTTTGGATATATTAGGATTTGGTTGGTTACAAAAAAGAGCATATTTATTGGACTGGTCGACAAGCAATCCAATTACTTCGTCATCTAAAAATGCTTCAAATATATCTAAATAACTCATTTGTTCATATTTGCTATAATCAGGTTCAGAAAATGATCTTGTTTTTTCCTCAAAGTCGCCCTGGATCCATGTTATTTTTTCCAGTCCTGGACGCAGCAGCACATCATTTGGGCCAGAGCCATTAGTGGGAAGTACTGAAATTTCTTCTGGTTCGTTTTCACGAACAGTAACTGCACTTCGAAGCACTAATTCAGCTTTTGGCAATAATTGTCGACCACTGAGATTATCCAGCATTCCGCCACCATCTTCCTCACCCGAATCTTCATCCGTCAATATGTTTGCATCAGGTAGCTCAATATATATTTCGTGCACATCAATATCATCATCGTAAGCCACTTGAATCGCTTCTTCCAACGTAAATCCACGTCTAAAATAAAAACAACACCCATTCAATAATTTGCAATATTTTGTATATCACAGCCAGCTAGCGTTACTTAAAAGTAACATTCAATTTTAGAGTCTCATATAAAAAAAATACATTGTATTTTTTAAAAACAATACAATAGCATGCAATGCAGACTATATTACTAGTACAATTCAACTATATATCTCAAAATAACCTTATAGCAGAAGATAGACATTACTTACTCTAGCCGAAGATCCATTTTCCAGCTGTCTAAACTTTGCGCTGGATTTTGGCACCCAATTTATAAAATTTGGACGGACTTACTGGTATTTCAGCGACAGACTAACGAACACTTGCGTCGTTCGGAATAATACTGATGCGCTGTTGTCACTTCTCGCATTGCTCCCTCGGAGTTACCTATAAGTAACGCTAGCCGTTGAAGGGTTAAGGGTACATGTAACTTTCTTGCACATTTATTACTAAAATACAATACCTGGAGCATTGGTTTATTGACATGTTTGTTAATTCATTCATCATGAATCCTCTGAGAGAAGTGAATGAGTCGAAAGAAGAGTTCAAATTGGTTAATTTGTCAATTTTAAATTACTGGATTTACTTGAGTTCAGCTCTAATATACCTTATATACCTCGTAATATACGTCAAAAGATACTCATTTTGAAGTCCCCCGATCAGCTGATGAAAACGACGAGTGCGCCATGTTGTGACGTCAGCAGACATTGCTCTATTGGTTGAAAATCTTCCGTGTCAAATTGTCAAAACAATTATTTTTCGTTATTTATCGTGTCATTATGTCTCATAGAATTCGTGAACACCCTATATATTTCCCGTGAAATAGGCACCGGTGGCAAGAAGAATCGCCAGAAGGAGCGACGCCTGATGAAGGGCTTCAACATCGCCCCCTCCACCTCGTCTGGCTCGCTGCCACCCGTCGCCGAGTTCATCGCCTCGCTTCAGCAGCACCATGACGCTCACGCGCACCACGGCGAGCTGTTCGGCTCGACGCTGTCGGGCATCTTCGCCGCGCCGGCGCAGAAGAAGCTGCAGCAGCGGCGCAGCGCCGTGTCCTCGTCGCAGGGGAGCATAGACGAGGTGCACTACCATCGGCATCATAAGAAGTAAAGGGGAATCTTTTTTTTTAAGTGGTCGTAATCCTTCATGATTAATCTCAGATAACACCAACCATCGGCCAAGCATTTGTAACGCACACGGAGAAAAAAAAATCACTAATCCAAGTGAATGTGATATAATTGGAAATATCGGGGAGTTCAGTCAATTGGGCTACAAGCAAACTACTTTATTACTATGCCAACTTTGAAAAATTTTCATTTTCTTCTTCAAGGCTGAAACAATATATAGTAAATGGAACATTTTGTTACTAATAAATTCAACAAACACAAGAACTTACTTGCGAGGTGAGTTAAGAGGTATAAATTGGAATAATAATCAGTATAAGAAATATAGATGATGTATACATTAAATTGATAGGACAGAGATCACGTGAGATCAGTGAATTGCTAAAAGTGCATCCCAAAAACTTGGTTTTCTGTTCTGGGTCAGGAGCAATTTAACTTCCAGTCAGCTGCTTATGATCTATAAGGCACAGATCCGACCTGTCCTGGAATACGGTTCCAATATTCGGAGTGCAGCACCCAAGCTTACCCTGAAACTGTTGGATTATGTCCAAAAAAGGGCAATTCGTATGGTGGGTGATGCCTCGCTCACAAACTCACTCACTTCTCTGGAACACCGTTGAAAAGTTGGCGATCTGGCTCTATTTTATAGATATTTTCATGGACGATACTCTTCTGGAATATCAACAATTGTTCCTCCCTTGGCAGTCCCCGCGAGATTAACCCGTCGAGTTGAGGCTTCGCACCCCTTCGTGGTCACTTTGGAGAAAAGACTCGTTCATCCAACGAACAGCGAGGCTCTGGAACACATTGCCAAGGGAAGTGTTCCCCGAGGCATATAACCTTCAGAAATTCAATAACAACACGAATTCCTACCTTATTTTCCTTGGTTCTCACGATGTTCTCTGAACATTACAGGATATCCATTTCCGTGGGAACCAGAACATAAAAAAAAGATGTGTGGATGGTACAGTGAACTATAAATCAAATCAAATCAAATCAACTTTATTACTAGATTAAAGTGTAAATGGTGTACAACAAAGACATATTCACATTTTGTCCAGCTTGTCACAAAAAAAGGAAAGTGTAGAAATAGAAATATTACACATACCTAGGAAAATTGTGTTTACACAAAGACTAACACTCTTAATAATTATTAATTAATGAATACAACACAAGAAAAGTTATTTACTTATCACAAGTGAAAATTACACAGCCAAAAAAATTTTTTTTTTACTGAAAACCTCTAGGGGTGAGCCAAAATAGACCCATCTGGAGTCGCAGTGGAGGGACGGTATTCGCCCCACCCACATGAAACATAACCTAACCTAACCTAACATTTTTCCCATTTTATCATATAATGGAAAACGCTTGCCCCGTTGTGCGAAACATAATTTTTTTGGCGGAACATTGGCTTTGCGATGTTGTGGAATATCGATTGGTATGTTCTAATTTAGTTGCAAGTTCTTCTTGTTATCATTTGTGATGTCTCAACCCTGGACATACTTCCTGATGCTGAAACCTATCTACTTAAAGTTGATGCCTACATACAATCTTATGGAATCCATAGCAAATGTAAAAACTTCACAAACGATAAGATTTTCACAAAATTCCTTTTCACACGACATGTTTCGCTAACACACAGTAGCTTCATCAGGTGAAATGCTGGTACAATGAACTAAACTAACCTTGGCTTGCCTAACTTCCAAAGTACCATATAGAATAAATTTTTTGATTTGCAGCTTTTTCTTGGGGTTTGGATTCGGTTTCATAAATAATTCGAAGGATTAAGTAGAAAAACGTTTCGCGAATGGCCATGGGCTTTGTCAATTTATTAAATTTTTTTAGCTCTCAACCAATTCATAATTCCGGCGATTAAGGTATTCTTGTAAATATCTTTATTCAAACATACTGTTCCTTTTTATTTTCCCTTCTTTTTTCTTTTGGAAAGAGTTGAAACATTTTTGTTGCATCGTTTCATGTGATGTAATCCTTTGAATTATTTATGAAATCGAATCCAAACCCCAAGAAAAAGCTGCAAATCAAAAGCATAACAGGATTCAAGAAAATCCCTCAACAAACAATATAAACTACTCAACACTAATTTCGTCGCACACCAAAATGTCGCCCCTGTTATAATGTGAATAACTTTTTTCAGTTTGAAACAATTTGGATTTGGTTTACACTGTTCAATAGCCCAGTCCTTCAGCTATAATCTGGTACTTCATTGAAACATGAGGATATTCACATTAAATCTCTACATGGTGTTTTCCGACACTGTGCAAAATTTCGGAATATTCAAAAGGCTCTCAAATGGTGAAAAAAATGTTTTTCTCAACTCCGACAACAGAGGAATGAAGATGATCTCATTACTTCGAGATATTTCGCGAATCAACTTCCTATCTCTCTTATTTACAGAGTGATCTCAAAAAATAAACTTTTTGGTTTTGCAGCCATAACTTTTTTCCACGTCAACCGATTTTGGAAATCTTAGGCTCATTTCGAAGATAGAACTTCAGATGAAGAGATCTGAATATCAGAATTGACTCAAGATGGCTATCAAAGATCCAGAGTTTTCTTGAAAGTGACCCAAATCTGGAACGACCTCCGAATACTTTTCCATATTCTTAAATCGCATGTTATGTACGTGACAACTGTTGAAAAAATCACTATATTGAAAAAATCAAAATCCGTTGCTCTTGTTGGTACACCATTTATGATGAGCCTCAGCTGGTCGGGTTTGTCAGTCACTCATTGTGATTCTTGTAACGTTGGTTACGGCGGGCCATGCATTACAGAGGAGAAATGATCTAATGTTTTTGCAAGAACATGATTGTTTCAATTGTGTTTTCTCACGCAAAATTCTTGACTACTGAGAGCGAGGAAAATATGGACGCATCCAGAATGAATTCTTTTTCCGAGAACAAGTTGATTTTCATTCAATTCTCCTCCCAACCGAGATTCGAAGGGCGTTCCAGATTTGGGTCACTTTCAAGAAAACTCTAGATCTTTGATAGCCATCTTGAGTCGATTCTGATATCCAGATCTCTTCATCTGAAGTTTTATCTTCATAATGAGCCTGAGATTTCCAAAATCGGTTGACGTGGAAAAAAGTTATGGCTGCAAAACCAAAAAGTTGATTTTTTGAGATCACTCTGTAAATAAGAGAGATAGGAACTTGATTCGCGAAATATGTCGAGGTAATGAGATCATCTTCATGCCTCTGTTGTCGACGTTGAGAATATAATTTTTTTTCACCATTTGAGAGCCTTTTGAATATTCCGAAATTTCGCACAGTGTCGGAAAACACCATGTAGAGATTTTATGTGAATACACTTATGTTTCAATGAAGTACGAGATTATAGCTGAAGGACTGGGCTATCGAACAGTGTGAACCAAATTCAAATTGTTCTAAACTGGAATAAGTTATTCACATAATAACAGGGGCGACATTTTGGTGTGCGACGAAATTAGTGTTGAGTAGTTTAGAATAAATATATATAGAACAAATAATTCGTTGGGGATGTTTATCAAAAATAATGAAGACATAACTTCTTAATTCGAAAATCAGTGGTATTCAAACTCAACTGTGGATTTTGTCCTAAAAGGTATATGTCTGACAGGTCGTAAGTTTAATCAGCGCATTCATGAGCATAAGATGATTTTTTTATAAGAAAACAAATTCAACATATGCCATAACCATTTATCAGAAGGAAACCATAGTATTCATGATAGTTTCGAAATTGTACACGTATAAAATGAAGGAATAAAACTCAATTATTTTGAATCATCTGAATTCAACAAACTCAAACATTTTTACATTTTACTCAACGATCAACTAGACCTTAATAGTTCAGCACTGTTGAATTTGTTTTCTTAGTAGGTAATAATAGGTATTTGCTATCAACCCTTTCGAGTTAATCGGGTACACCGTATTTTAATGTAGATTTTGTGCCTATTTTCCCCAGGTAATGCTGATCCTTCAGGTAGGAGAAGTAGGATATCAAAAGTAAGGCAAGTCAAAGTTAGTTTAGTTCATTGTACCAGTATTTCACCTGATGAAGCTACTGTGTTAGCGAAACATGTCGTGTTATTGAGAATTTTCTGGAAATCTTATCTTTTGTCAAATACTTCATAATAAAATGATCTCTAGGCTCAACTTCAAACGCAGTCATTCCCACAAACGTCGATGGGGCACATTGATCGAAGCCGCTAGAACTGGAAAAGTGTCTCGTTTGATCGGTCGCTCCAGATCTGAGGACTCCGTATGCAACAGGTGCAGCGAAAATGGCCACAATCACTCACACAATGATAGCCCTAGGTCAGACGATAACAGGTATTCCTTTTTCTCTATGTATGACGAATTTATATTCATACAGGACGTGGAAAGAAATTCTGAATTGAGAAAACATAATCACGAATCTGCGATTGAAGGTCAATAAAAATAACAAGTTTCCATCGTTCTAGTTTCAACCCCTTGTTATGAACATAAAAAAAGAATGGATAAACATATAAAGGAATACATTGAGAATTTGAATTTTGTATTGAAAGGATTGATATTTTTATCATGATGTATTGAAGTTGTTTTTGACCAGCTTCATTACTAGACTGGTTTTGATCAAAATCTGAGCCTGATTCTATATATATAGTTGAATTTCACCTGTTCGAAAGCTCGAAACCTGAAAACCTGAGAAAGCTGAGTAATGCAATGATTCCTGACTTCCCACAGCTTTTCCTGATAGTTAACTATCTAATGAACATCATTACAACCCTAAAGGCTTCAATATTTGTCAACCCTTTTAGACCGTTGGCCCAAAACACTAGGGGTGTCGATTATCTACGAAGGTATGCCCTTCAAGAGACATGAAGATTGAGTTGGATTATCGGGAAAAAAGTGGTTAGTTGGATCGGTACCCGGTCGCCCATCTCCCTAATCAATCAACTTCCTGTTGAAAGTAATGTTGAAAATTGTTTTATAGAAGAAGCTTTAAAATTCATTGGAATAGTCGCATCTCGCCAAATTAACCGGGCGCTAGCCGATTTGCATACGTCTAGGTCGGTCCCGAAGGGCGGCATACGGACCGCAAGTTACCATTAACCGACATTTCTCTCAGATTATTTACGATGGTATGCCCTTTGGTCAGTTCCTTCATTTCGACCCATGAATCAATGCCATAACATTTGCATACAGTTTGGGTGGGCGAATTTAGACATATTCGAAGGTCACTTTACATCATCGATTATATACAGGGTGTAACTAAATAAGTGTAAAACATTTAAGGAGGTGATTCCTCATCGAAAAAAAGATAGGATCTTTCATATAAAGAAACTTCATTGGAGCATCCCTTGTTAAGATACAGCCCCTTAAAGGGGGTACATAAAATTTGTATAACAATTTTTTTCACAAGCACTGAAAAAGTTACAATATTGAAATTAACCTGACAGCGTCATACCAATTTAATTGTCACTATCGCTAATAGCGACCTACTAGATAGATTAGTTTCGTATTTTCGCATTTATGACGATGTATCTCTGTAGTTGTTCGTAAAATAATGTTTTGCTGCTTACTGGTTTATTTTGGGCAAAAAACCCAAGAGACATTTTTTGTTTAGAATGAAACAGGCTATCGGAAATAAATTTTTAAATGGTAAACAAATAATAAGACAAAAAGTTACATTGGAAATAAATTTTAGGGGTTGCGTTTTTCACCCCTTACAACCATGGGGTAAACCAAATAAATTACTGGCTAAGTGTCTTTTTGGTAGTACAAAACGTCAGGTTAATTTCAATATTGTAACTTTTTCAGTGTTTGTGAAAAAAATTGTTATACAAATTTTATGTACCCCCCTTTAAGGGGCTGTATCTTAACAAGGGATGCTCCAATGAAGTTTCTTTATATGAAAGATCCTATCTTTTTTTCGATGAGGAATCATCTCCTTAAATGTTTTACACTTATTTAGTTACACCCTGTATATCAAGATTATATAATTTTGTATGCCATTCAATCAGGTGATAGATTCAGTTATACTGAATAAGAAAATAGCGTTTGCATACGAATGTATTGTGAGCATACGTCGATTTTGCTATAGGGAGTCTATTTTTTTCAGTTTAGGTTGAAGGGTGTTGTGAGAAATCAACGATTCATTTTTCTCCGTGTATACAGTGTTCTCCAAGGTAACGAATTTGGAGCCAAAGACGGAATTAAAGCTTTTCACAGGGTGATATGTGGTTTGAGAACAATTAATCGAATGAGTAGGTACACTCATTTTGTGAATAGCAGCTGTAACAGAGTGGAGCTGTGTGCCAGTTACTCGAAGGCTCGGGCCGCCCGGTCAATAAAAGTGTAACTGAAAATTGATTCATAGCTTCCCTGAGAGAATATTTCCAGAAATCACAAGAACAGAACTTGAGATATCGCATTTTTGCGGTTTTTTCCTTGTATTTCGTTTCGTTTTGAGTTGAAAATATATTTTTTTTTCAGTTTTTAGGCCAACTCTATGACGCTTTTGAACTGCCATCCTGAAAAAACTTTTTTTTCACGAGTACTTGCATAATTAATAGTTGCAACTGTAAATTAGGAAGGGGAAACTTTTTTTTACACATCCCCTAATTTACAGTTGCAACTGTGAATTAGGAGATGTTTTGAAAAAAAAAAGATTCTCCTTCCTAATTTACAGTTGCAACTGTGAATTAGGAGATCAACAGTAAATTAGGCAAATATCCGTGAAAAAAAGTTTTTTTAGGATGGCAGTTCAGACGCGTCGTACAGACATAATAACTAGTTTCTTAGTGGTTTTTGAACCAAAAACTGATTTTTCGAAACTTCGACCTCGAATAACTCGAAACGGGTAAATCGGGACGAGTTTTGTGTAAGTTCTAAAGTTAGAAAGAATTTGATTGTCGATATCTTGAGCTCTTACAGGGTGTTGAACGAATTTTGCCGCCATTTTTGCTAATTTTACTGGGCTAAATGTAATCCCCGCAACTCGCAAATCGTATGCAAATCATTATTCCATGCATAGTTTATGCTTAACTAACCTTGATCAAAATTTGGGAGCTTCGTAGATAATCTTGTAAATACAGGTCAATGATGTAAAGTGACCTTCGAATAAGTCTAAATTCGCCCACCCAAACTGTATGCAAATGTTATGGCATTGATTCATGGGTCGAAATGAAGGAATTAGCCAAAGGGCATACCATCGTAAATAATCTGAGAGAAATGTCGGTTAACGTTAACTTGCGGTCCGTATGCCGCCCTTCGGGACCGACCTAGACGTATGCAAATCGGCTAGCGCCCGGTTAATTTGGCGTGATGCGACTATTCCAATGAATTTTAAAGCTTCTTCTATAAAACAATTTTCAACATTACTTTCAACAGGAAGTTGATTGATTAGGGAGATGGGCGACCGGGTACCGATCCAACTAACCACTTTTTTCCCGATAATCCAACTCAATCTTCATGTCTCTTGAAGGGCATACCTTCGTAAATAATCGACACCCCTAGTGTTATGGGCCAACGGTCTATTTGCTTGATATGAAATTTGATTGAATTATCTATCTGTTGGAATGCTTGATGTTTGACTGCTCATAATTTTGTTGTTATTGAATATTTTCCAGCCAAATTCATTCAGTAGCATAAGCAAAGGTAGTAGATCCTGTTCCTGTGCCCATTTAGGGTTGAATATTATTTTTTCCGCGTTTTGTGTTGGAGGTCCACATGTGCTTTCCAAGGACAGATTTAGTGGCCATGGCCATGAGCCATAACAAGGTGGGAGTTTTGACCAATGAGATTCCAGATTTACTTGTCCTTGTGCCAAGGCCAAAGCAGTGTATAAATACTGAAGACAGCTGAGGATTCTGGTCTCTCTTCTCTTCTCTACAAGTCTGCACTACCTGCTCGACCTGCTCTTCAAGCTTGGTTCTCTTGCTGATTTCTTAGTGCTCTCATATTTCATGTGTAAAGTATTATTGTATAGTGATTTCGTGTTACACATGTAAGTTTGTATTTTTCACAATTGTTATTCATCCTGTTCATAGATTCATTTCATTCCTGTTGTTTTGCATACCGATACTCACCCGACCTGTGTAAAGAATCCAGAACTTTGAATTTGCGAATAAACGGATTTTGTGATTGCATATTTCATATTTATTTCTCTGTTGTCATTGTTTTCAGTTCCGAATAGTTCCAATAATTTATTTACTGATTTTCAATATTTTCATTTGTCAAAATTGCAGATTATTATTATTGACTGACGACTGACACTGACAAGCCAGTTGTAAATTCTTCTTTTTCCTCGAGAAATCCTGTCCTGTGCATTCGGGTCTCTGTGCTTTGTGTCCCGTCAGGCGGAGATCTATGTTTCATGAACTATTGACATGAATGGAAAAATATAATCAATTAACCTCACTAAAATCTCGAGATTGAATATAAGTAAATCGAAGGAAAAGAAAAGATAAATATGAATTGCATCTGTATAATTCGTTAGGAACCGTGTTTCCGATTCTCCAGGTAGAAATGATGAAATAGTTTGAATAAATAATTTTTCCGACCTTACTTCAAAATACCAGAGAGTCCCGAAAGATATTTGCTTTGATTCCTGTAATTATCCAGACCAGAAATAGCAACCAGTATTCCAGGCTAAACCCAGGGTTTGTAATTAAAGCCTACACTCTCTTGGCTACTTATTGATTCCAGGTCGATTCGATACCATTGACCCCTGGTTTATACTGTAGGTACCGAGGTAGGTATACCTCCTGTACCTTTCTCCACTGTTGCTACTTTGGGCCTCTGTACAAAAAATATGTTGTGCAGAGCCGGTAGAGTAAACTACCTCAAAAACAATCTGGCGCTCGAGAATCCCCCCCTGTCAAATACCAGAGTAGTCTCCTGTCCTGAACAGAGCGTCAAAGTAAGGGCCGCAGAATAAAAACCCTTACAATGATAAAAATATCAATTCTTTCTCGAACTTTGAATCATATCTATTGATCACACACGATAAGAATTTGGAAACTTAGTTTAGAATCCACATTCTCCTTCAGATAAAAATATGTATTTGCACATATCATTCTGAATATTCAACAGAAAACAACTAGTTTTTGCCTTTTCAGTCTTGCCATGACTTCGAAAATTCAGTTTTATGGAAATCACTCAAAAACAAAAAGTCATATAAGAAATTTTCAAAACTATTTTTGTTGGTCCTTCACTCGCACAACTTTTCTCCAATTGAACAAAATCTCGAGTAGTTTCCGAGATGCCCATAGTGGTCCTCCTTCTAGGGCACAGTGTATGAAAAGGTTGAGCAAGATAAATATGTTGTGTTCAATGAACGTCAAATGATGATGAGATTTCAACACCTCGATCATCATTATCATGTATTCATTGGGATTTGTCAGTCTTTCAGATTCCAATCCAAGTTTAGACACTCATCTAGATAGCCATGAAGACAGTCATCCTGAAAGGGAACTGCATGGCATAGCACACGGATTAGCACTGCTGAAGAAGAAGAGGAAGAAGTTTTCGGCTTCCAGAAATTCCAGTCCTATAGTCAATCCCACTGAGATAGTTCCTAAGAAAACTGGATCGAAAAAGGTAATAGCTTGTTTATCCTACAATCTTACATTACAGGACATCCCTTCTCGTGGGAACCAGAACATAAAAAAAAAGTTAAAATATTATGTTAAACTGACACGATTTGTAATGGCGCAACAAGGTATCGATATATTACCCGAATATTTCGATGTACTTATAGTATAACTACTGATTATTTCTCCCTATTACTGAGCTGATTGATCTCTCAACTTCATTGAATAAATCATTGGATGAATGAGCCGAGATTATTCTTTTTCAGTTCCAGCAGGTCCTGAAAAGAGCCTCCAGCGTCCCAACCAGAGTGCCCGAAGTCGTTCAGATGATCAGACACCACGAGAAAACCCAGTCGCAGCAAGATTCCATCGAGATCCAGCAGACCGTTCTCGCTACTCTCACTCCATCTACCACGGAAGAGAGCGTCAACGCTGTCGGGCCTCTCCTCACCATCACTGGAACGTCCAGGGAACCGCTGCTCTTCAACTCTTCTTCCAGTAACCAAGCCACGGGGTCCATCCAGACTCCCGAAGAAGAGGAGTACCACCCGAATGCTCCTAGTACGTCTCAGTCGCTTCCCAAGTTGCCTGGAGTGATACCTGTCAGTGGGTATAACGGCCCTACTGGCTGGTTATAGGATAGTGAGCAATTGCATCAGAGGTTATCGAGATCTAGCTGATATTTTTGTTAATGCGTGAAATTGAAGACATTTTTTCGACCAAGATTTTTGAAGTTACAATGCACAGTTGAGAAGTAATAAATAGGTATCGACATTGATGAGTTTCATTTAATACCCATACCATCATCAAACCATGAGAAATAATATGGTGTTTTTTTTGTTTTTTTTATCGCTTGGAGCGCAAGAAAGGGAATCCCTATGATGTTCAAAGAACATCGTGCGTTTCTAGGGAGGATAGGAATAAGAGGTAGGTATTGGAATTTTTTTGGCCTTCTGGAGATTATATGTTGTTGGGAATACTTCCTAAAAGGCAATGAATTCCAGAGCTTAGCCGTTATTCTATATATGAAGGAGTTTTGATAAAGTGCTGTTCGACATCTTTCGGGGTTGACAACGAGAGGATGTGCTGACTGGGCTTGTCTAGTTCGTCTGACTGGTATTGCTGGTGAAGGGATGATAGCAGAAATTTCCGAAGCACGTTTCCCGTGGAAGTATCGATAGAGAAGTGAAAGGTCGCCGACCTTTCTACGGTGTTCCAATGATGTCAAAGAGTGAGTGAGTGTGGCGTCACCCACCAGGCGGATTGCTCTTCTCTGGATGGAATCTGAGAGCATCAGCGTATGTTTTGGTGCTGAATCCCATATGTGGGAACAGTGTTCTAGAACAGGCCGTATCTGCGCTTTGTAGATCATGAGAAGCTGTTGAGGTGTAAAGTAGCTTTTCGCACGGAACAAGAATCCGAGTTTTTGTGAAGCAGCTTTTGCGATGGATCTGACATGATTATCCCATGTAAGAGTGTTGCTGATGTGAATACCGAGCATAGATATGGGGGGCTTGGTGGGGATGGTGGTGCCAGACATTACAATGTCGGGCATACTGAGTTCCGCCTTTCTGGAGAAAATACAGGCTTGAGTTTTGGTGGCGTTGAATTCAACTAGGTTGTTGGTGCCCCATGCTGTGATTTCAGCAAAGTCTTCATTCACAGCATTGACCTGCCTGCGTTGTGAGTTCTTAGTTTCCTTGGAAGAAATGGGAATTCTGTGCGTAGGACCACACGTCAGAAGTGATAATTTCGATGGTATGATGAGAATAATGAGGAGTCATAATTGCGAGTGACAATGGTATCTGAAGAAAACTCAACCATTCCAACTCTTCTTCCAGTAATCAAGCCACGGGGTCCATCCAGACTCCCGAAGAGGAGGAGTACCACCCGAATGCTCCTAGTACGTCTCAGTCACTTCCCAAGTTGCCTGGAGTGATACCTGTCAGTGGGTATAACGGCCCTACTGGCTGGTTATAGGATAGTGAGCATTCGCATCAGAGGTTATCGAGATCTAGCTGATATTTTTGTTAATGCGTGAAATTGAAGACATTTTTTCGACCAAGATTTTTGAAGTTACAATGCACAGTTGAGAAATAATAAATAGATATCGAGATTGATGAGTTTCATTCAATACCCAAACCATGATCGAACCATGAGAAATAATATGGTGTGCGTAGGACCACACGTCGGAAGTGATAATTTCGATGGTATGATGAAAATAATGGGGAGTCATAATTGCGAGTGACAATGGTATCTGAAGAAAACTCAACCATTCCAACTCTTCTTCCAGTAATCAAGCCACGGGGTCCATCCTGACTCCCGAAGAGGAGGAGTACCACCCGAATGCTCCTAGTACGTCTCAGTCGCCTCTCAAGTTGCCTGGAGTGTTACCTGTCAGCCGGTATAACGGTCCTACTGGCTGGTTATAGGATAGTGAGCAATCGCATCAGAGGTTATCGAGATCTAGCTGATATTTTTGTTAATGCGTGAAATTGAAGACATTTTTTCGACCAAGATTTTTGAAGTTACAATGCACAGTTGAGAAATAATAAATAGGTATCGAGATTGATGAGTTTCATTTAATACCCAAACCATGATCAAACCATAAGAAATAATATGGTGTGCGTAGGACCACACGTCGGAAGTGATAATTTCGATGGTATGATGAAAATAATGGGGAGTTATAATTGCGAGTGTTAATGGTATCTGAAGAAAACTCAACCATTCCAACTCTTCTTCCAGTAATCAATCCAGACTCTCGAAGAGGAGGAGTACCACCCGAATGCTCCTAGTACGTCTCAGTCGCTTCCCAAGTTTGTCAGTGGGTATAACGGCCCTACTGGCTGGTTATGGAATAGTGAGCAATCGCATCAGATGATATCGAGATCAAGCTGATATTTTTGTCAATGCGTGAAAGTGAAGACATTTTTTCGACCAAGATTTTTGAAGTTACAATGCACAGTTGAGAAATAAATAGGCATCGAAATCGATGAGTTTTATTCAATACCCAAACCATAGATCAAAAAGACTCTGCCCAAATCATCAAAAATTTAATATGGTGTGCATAGGACCACACGTCGGAAGTGATAATTTTTCTACGGCTATAACACAAAATTGCTCTCGTTTCACTGTGTTTGATACATTAATGAGGTTCTTTGTATGTCATCAATTTTATTTCAGTATCTGATATCATAATGACTCAATAATTGTGTTATTATTTCAGAAAAAATCTCATCGCTCATGGAATGTCAAATTTCGAGCAATGATAGCTCTGTTTAATAGATGAGCATTAGTTGGCAAGAAATCAGGTGGCTACAAGACGTAGTAATAAAAAATGCCGCTGTTATCTCTTACAGCCGTAGAAAAATTATAGTGTATAACTCGGACGGAATGGTAATTTTCCACTCGAATAATTGTGGGAAATCACTATCATTCCGTGCTCGGTAAACAATATAGTTTTCGATGGTATGATGCCCCCTCAGACTTTCTACCAATAATAACTGCGATTCTACTTAGAACATATTCCTCTAGCCATATGACGATATAGGTGTATATCGTATGAGTATTGCACTAGGACTTAAAATTGAAAAAAACATAAATTGTCTGTGAATTTTTCAAACACCTTCAGTATTATAGGTAGTAGATATCATACCTAAAATATACTCACCTTGAGTGAGAAAGCCTATAATTTTTTTTCCTCAAATATAAAAATTGGCGCCTCAGCAATTAGACAATGTGAACGAAATAACGCGTAAAAAATTATTCACAATAGATTGATGAGTAACTCATCTGCTGTTATAAGTGATAGTTGTTAACTGAAAAATTCTAGTGAATCTCTGAATTATTTTGCTGAATTGAAAAAATGTGTCAGTAATGTCAGTAATCAACTAGATATTTCCCTAAATATTTCTGTTTGCTGGCTGAGCAGTGGAAATAGTTATTTGTTTAACTAGGCAGCAAAGTAGTAGATTGACTGCCGTGACTGAATTCATAGCCGAGCGTAGCGAGGCTAGGAATCCAGCTAAGGCAGTCAATCTACTGTGCTGCCGAGTTGAACATATAATTTTTTCTCCGATTGTTCATAATGATATGGGAGAATATTGTATTTGCGAATTAATACAATTCCCACAATCTCTTTATTCTTCCTGTATAGTGTTCAATTAAAATAAAATTTCATAGAAATCGCAGTTGTTGGTTAGACAATTCATGAAATTTCTGACAGTTGTGCGAAAAAATATCGGCATATTTAAATCATTATATAATGGACAGTGATAGCGACCTGGAAGTATACTTATACACCTCCATTAATAAGGGAGGTGGCAAAAAATATAGAGTTGAATTTGTTGCCGGAGAAGTCTTGGATGGAATATGAAGGAAATTATAAACGATTTATGGATTTTTAATTTTGCTGATACATATCAATCAGCAAAGTACCCACTTTGCTGCCTAGGCAGGAAAAGTAATACTTTGCTGATCGATATGTGTCAGCAAAATTAATATTTGCTGCCAATCGGAGGAAAAAGAATTATTACACCGTACCCAAAGCACAAGTCAATTCCGATATACTACTAATATTAAGAACAAAATCAATATTATGCAATTAAAACTATGATGTAGGAGATGCTAAAAACAGCTTACTCCTGCCTATAAAATTGTAATTTTATTGTTTGGTAGCTATATCGCTCACGGGTATTTAGGATAGCGATAATGGTTCAATGGAGTGTTGTATCAAATTGAACACAAACTATCAAATACGTGAACACATTACTGAACATTCCCGACAGAATGTCTTGATTAACATAAAAAAATCCAGCTGCTGACATTCTAGGTCGTATCTGCCATATGAATCGGTTCAGGAATACCAGCTCAACTCTTGTTTGTTCATTCAGGTTCTTACTGAGAGTGAAACAAATTTTGCTCATCTTCAAGCCAATTTCTTCAATATGGTGACACTTCATGGTCAACGAAATCATATATCTCTAAAATTGGAAAAGACTGTTTAGTGTATAGTGTAGAGTGTATTCATGAATTTTTCTTGATGAGTACTCTGATTTGATATTATAGTGATAAAAAATAGGGTTTTCCATCAAGTTCGCAAAATGGACTTACTGTAACATACTGTAACTGCACATATTGAGGTGAATTCGAGTCAATTATTCCAAATTCTCAGTCTTTTCTATTAAGGGTTCATTGAGGTTATGTGCCGAAAGTATAAATTAAGGTTCAACAATATTCATTCATAATTTGCTCACTCAATTCACTAGTAATAATCGATACATTCATGATAAGTTGAGACGACAAATTCAGAGGTCTGGCTTGAGGAATAATGAATCAACTAATGTGCAAAACCTTATTTGAGGACTCATAATATATCCTACATTATACCGAGTCGACAATCTCTTGTGAATTAGTTAGATGTGCAAATATGACAGATATTGATTGAACCATTGCGAAGAATCAGGAGACAATATTTTTGCCAAAAAATAAACTGATTCCTTGCATATCGAAAAACGATTTGATATAAAAGTTTTGACAACTACGAAATAGCCACAATACTCCAAGTGGATTGATATGTTGAATAAATACAAAAAACTCAAAGTCATTTCAACACATTGTTCATAAAATGAACAACAGT